AAAAAAAAAAAAAAAACATAAAAGCAAATAAGAAAAGGAAAAACAGACATAAACACACACACACATGCACATGTGTCACACACACATGCACACACACACACACACACACACGCCAACAATCATGCGCACACACACACACACACACACTTACAAAACACATACACAAACACACGCGCATACATACATATTCATGCACAGACACACTCTCACACGCAGGCACACACACACACATACACGCACACACATCACACCTACACACACATAACTGGGCCCTTGGGGGTTGGGGGATGTGGGGGCGGATGGCTTAGAGGGCTTCCGGGTAGGTTTGGGGACTGGTGCTGGGGGGTTGGTAAGTGGCGGGTGGCAAGCATTCGCGCAGCGTGCCGGCAATGCCCGCATTGGCCAAAGATGCCTGCCCACTCGCCCTGCTTGCCTATATGCCAGTGCTGCGTGTGGGCGGCCTCCCTTCAGCCTGCGACTGGGCCCCAGTGGCTGAACCCAGCCCGATACAGTTGAGGCCGGGGGCAATGCAGTTGCGCCTCTTTCATCAAGGCCTGTGGCCAGATTCAGATAGTGGGCCGATTTCCCTTTGGCATTTTCGGCCTCTATACCCAGCATGCATTGTCGGCCTCACGTTCCAGGGCCTAACTAACTCAGAGGCCCTGGGATCTCCACATTTGCAGAGATTCGAGACTCGGTGCGCTCCAACCAACTGGCGTGCTGCAACTGTATGGACCCCGACTTCGGGAAATGTTTGCACAGAGGGCTCTTGTTGATTTGCTGGCCCGCCTTCACTTAGGGCGGGCACTAGGCTTGCTGGGGCCTTAGCCCAGAACATGTACATCATGGCAACGCCCCTTCTTGAGGGCTCAATCCTCACACAAGCTCCTGACACCTGGCATAGGCTGGAAAGAAAGCGGCAACCTCCACACCCAGCCAGTTGGGACAAACCGACTTTCCCAGTCCCGTTCTTTTTAATTAATCAAGAGATACTTCTCTGCAGGACCCTGTCCTTCTGAGACTTGGCGGTGGAAAGAAACCGGTCTAATTCTCCTGAGAATAAGAACGGAGGCAGGCCCATTAAGGCCTTTTTTTTTTTTTTTTTTTTTTTTTTTTATACTGAACTTACTGAAGCCCCAGTGGGGTGCCAGGCTCTTTTTTTTTTTATTTAAAGAGCACTCTTTTGCCTGCCCATAAGAAATCCGAATCGTATTAGTGTGTGATTTGCTTGGTGCCGCCAGCCTTTGCCCGATGGCCACTCTGAGCCTTTCCACACCTCTGTGTTCACCTGCGTTTTTTCTTGGAAACGCTGGGCTGCCCACTTGTGGTTTGGATGGCATACACTTGTTGCAGGACTCGGGCTCTCGTTCAAACACCATGAACATTATTGAGGCCCAAGGACGGACCTAGCGAGGAAGCACAATTAGTTGTCCTAACTCCTTTTTATCATTCAACACAACCCTTGAAGCTACTGTTCAAAGCCACATCCTCAAAAAATCACCCTGCCAGGTACCTTGAGTTCAAGGGTATAAATACTATAAATGCGAAGAATGGCTGACAGCGCTCCCCTTGAACTCAAGGTTCCTAGCGGAAGTACCTCAACCACCAGTACACCTAGGCAGAGAGAGAGAGAGAGAGAGAGAGAGAGAGAGAGAGAGAGAGAGAGAGAGAGAGAGAGAA